ACTGTGTCCGCAGTCTCTGGTCATCCCCTGTACTGTGTCCGCAGTCTCTGGTCATCCCCTGTACTGTGTCCGCAGTCTCTGGTCATCCCCTGTACTGTGTCCGCAGTCTCTGGTCATCTCCCCTGTACTGTGTCCGCAGTCTCTGGTCATCTCCTGTACTGTGTCCGCAGTCTCTGGTCATCCTCCTGTACTATGTCCGCAGTCTCTGGTCATCTCCTGTACTGTGTCCGCAGTCTCTGGTCATCCCCTGTACTGTGTCCGCAGTCTCTGGTCATCTCCTGTACTATGTCCGCAGTCTCTGGTCATCCCCTGTACTGTGTCCGCAGTCTCTGGTCATCTCCTGTACTGTCCGCAGTCTCTGGTCATCTCCTGTACTGTGTCCGCAGTCTCTGGTCATCTCCTGTACTGTGTCCGCAGTCTCTGGTCATCCCCTGTACTATGTCTGCAGTCTCTGGTCATCTCCTGTACTGTGTCCGCAGTCTCTGGTCATCTCCTGTACTGTGTCCGCAGTCTCTGGTCATCTCCTGTACTATGTCTGCAGTCCATTCGTTCCTGTACTGTGTTTTTTTTCCTGTTTTCTGCCTCTACTGTGTAGGGTGTCCTTATGGAGCGAAAAATACAGTATATACATACACACACATACATACACACACACACACACACACACACACACACACACATACCTGTACTATGTCCGCATATATGGTCATCTACCTATATATATATGTGTCCGCAGTCTCTGGTCATCCCCTGTACTGTGTCCGCAGTCTCTGGTCATCTATAAATGTACTGTGTCCGCATTTTATGGTCATTTTCATTTATGTGGTGTCCGCAGTCTCATGGTTATTTGCACATTATATGTATTTGTTTGATATTTTGGTTATTTTCTACTTGTATTTATTTTGTCCGTAATCTCTATTTGCAGATATATTTTTATTAATGTCCGCAGTTTTTGGTTATTTTTGTTGTATTAACGATTATGTTTGCAGATTGTACTTTTATTCGTTAGAATTTTTTTTTGCGGTTACAAATCAATTGTTATCTGCTGCCTTTTACCATCCAAGTCCCATCCATTGGGAGGTGAAACAGATGGAGCGACAAAATCAACCAGTATAGAACATAAAGACCGGACACTGCCTCTATATATAGGAAACAGAAAATATGACATACATACTTCCACAGATGGCACCATTTACAAAATGGAATCCATTTGATCGCACAGATCTTGGTGTGATCAAATGCTGTTAAGGGCAGAGGACGAAGTCCGGAAGTACGAAACGCGTTAGGTATATCAAGACGCACGCACGCTAATAAGTGTATGCCGCGGCCATTTTGTTGGTATTTTATGGTTTTAATTTTTTTCATTTATGCTATGGTGTATTATCTCTATTGTTATTTGCACATATGAATATATGTATTTGTTTTGAGATCTTTTTATTATACTTTCTACTGCTAGATCACAGAGTGCACATAATAAGTTTCACTGAGTTTTATTTTATACATTGTATTTATTTTGTTGTAATCTGTTATTTGCAGATCACAGATATTTTTATTAATTTACTTTTTGGTTTTATTTTTTTTTTTATATTTTACAGTTGGTATTAACCCGATATTTCTTTCATGTATTTCTCACGAAAGATTGCATTACTTTTTTTGCTATACATTTTTATTTTTTTTTGCTGTTACAAAATCAATTGTTATCAAATTGCATAATTTTACCATCCAAAAGTGGACCCATCCATTGGGAGAATGTTAAAGCATGTGATGCTCCTGTAAACTCACCTGGGGCATAACAGGTGTGGACACCAGAAATCAACCATCAAAGAACTGGAGATACGTTCACTTAACCTTTGCATTGCTTTGTCTGCCACACTAAGCTCAGAAAGAGGAGAGGAAAACTGAGAACCAAAATGATGAGCATCAACATCACAAGTCCATCTCCAGAGAACTGGCACCATTTCCACTGCGCAAAAATCAAGAAGTTTGAATCCATTTGATCTCCCGCACGGATGAGAAATTGATGAAAGATTGATCAAATGTCCGGATGGTGGATAAGGGCAAAGAGCTGTCCGCAAGCTCAGGGAGCATCAGTGACGAAACGCATTTAGATGAAATGAAACGCTATGGCAGGAGACCCAGGAGGACCCCACTGCGACACGCTAAAAAAGCAACCGGAACAGTTGCCAAAATGCTTGGTAAGCCATTTTGTTGGTTGTCTACGTAGACCATCTGTTTCATGAGGTAGGTATGTTATATGCCTGCCCTCTGGCCTGGGGTGCGCATCTGACTCGCGTCGTGGTTAAAGCACATCATTCAGCGAAAACAAATACCTACGGTAAAATATGGTGGAGGTTCAATGTTTGTGGAGCCTTGACTGTACAGAGATTACCAGGATTTTGGGTCGCACTGTGAGGGGCTTCCAGCATGTTGAGAGCTCAAAAAGTTCCTATCTTTATTGTAAGTTATGAATAAATTTGTTTTCTACGGTTTTGAGATCTGTCTTATCTTTATGAGTACTTTGGAGGAGTACCCCTGAAGTGAAGGAATGGGAAGATATGGATTCTATAATAAAGCCTATGCTTGTGAAAAACTCCCAGAGGGTAATAGTATCTAGTATCAGGTTGGCTAGATCACAGAGTGCACATATTATTGGAGTGTTCACTGGAGTTTCACTTTTTGGTTTTATTTTATACTTTTTTTTAAATAAGTCAGGAAAAATATAGGGTGCCAATATATATATACTTTTTTTTTTTTTTTTTTTACACAATTTTGAGAGTGGTTTGCGTTTTGCACAGAGGGGAGTGTTTTTATATATAGTAAAAAGTAATGCACTGTGGATTTTTTTCTTTTTTTTTTTTGAGGTTTTCGTGGAATATGTAGGATTGTTTTCCTTCTTACCGGATTGAAGTGGAAATTTGGGACTTTGGACGTTATTGGACACATTTGAATGTTTATTGGATACACTTGGGACTGAATTGAATATTGGACATTTTTTAATTTTTTTAAAATTTTATTTATGCTTTTTTATTTGTGTTGAATTTTATTTTATTTTGTGTTTGGGAATTTATGCGGTTGATCACAAAAAGGTATGTTTCATTGTGCACTTTCTATGGAGAAAGTGTGACTTTTTGGGGGGAGTGAAGTATAAGGAGGTTACTTATTGATTGGAATGTGCACCGCTTGCTGCCCTCAACAGACCGGTGTGGTCCAAATTCACTAAATGGAAAAACAAAAAGAGGGGGCGCACCACCGAGTGCATTATCATTTAAAAGTATTTATTGAGAGAACAAAGTAAGCATCATACTCACAATGGACATAAACACAGGCATGTCACAGCGAACAAGATGTTCGATCCAAACAGCATCTGAGTCCATACGATGGAACCCTGGATGACCAACTGGCTAACGCGTTTCGAGGACACAGCCTCTTCCTCAGAGCCCCTGTCCTGGATAGGGCGGGTCAACTGGGTGAAAATGACTATCCTGCCTAAATCGTTATATTATTTCCGCACTCTCCCAGTTCAGGTTCCTCATTTCCTCTGGCTGATTCAGTCGCAGTTGAAGCGACTTATCTGGGCTGGCAGACGCTCCAGAAATACGCTTTTGGTTCATAGACTTGCAGGGAGGTCTTGGGGTACCTAATGAGAAGTATTACCAGGCGTGCCAGATTGCCCCACTGTCCATGTTGCGTGCTTCCTCTGATGTTTCTTCCTGGGTTCTCCTGAAACGTTTTCAGAAGTGTCGGGACTTCTTTCCCTGCGTGGTACCGGAGTCCATTCAAATGACTGGACCCTCGTGCCCAAGCAAAACGCAGCCCGCATAGATGTGCACCTATGGTTAGAGCGCCCCCGCTCTGGAGGATGAAGCACAGGGGGCACCCTTGGACAGCAGCATTGTCAGTCCGGCGGGAGGGGAGTGTTAGATGGACTAGCAGGTTTAAATACACTAAAGAATTGAAGCCAAACTCCACCTCACACTTTATGATCCGTTACGGCAACCATTTTTTTTTCCTTTTGGGAAAAAGGTTTTACATGAATAAAAGGGCAGCACGGTGGCTAAATGGTTAGCACTTCCGCCTGGCAGTACTCGGGTCGTTGGTTTGAATCCCAACCAAGGCACCACCTGCCTGGAGTTTGCATGTTCTCCCTGTGCCTGCGTGGGTTTCCTCCGGGAACTCCAGTTTCCTCCCACACACCAAAGACATGCTGGTAGGTTAATTGGATCCTGTCTAAATTGTCCCTAGTATGTATGAATGTGAGTTAGGGGCCATAGATTGTACACCCCTTGAGGGTTAGGGACCTTAGATTGTACGCCCCTTGAGGGTTAGGGACCTTAGATTGTACGCCCCTTGAGGGTTGGTGACCTTAGATTGTACACCCCTTGAGGGTTAGGGGCCATAGATTGTACGCCCCTTGAGGGTTGGTGACCTTAGATTGTACGCCCCTTGAGGGTTAGGGACCTTAGATTGTACACCCCTTGAGGGTTAGGGACCTTAGATTGTACGCCCCTTGAGGGTTAGGGACCTTAGATTGTACGCCCCTTGAGGGTTAGGGACCTTACATTGTACGCCCCTTGAGGGTTAGGGACCTTAGATTGTACGCCCCTTGAGGGTTAGGGACCATAGATTGTACGCCCCTTGAGGGTTAGGGACCTTAGATTGTACACCCCTTGAGGGTTAGGGACTGATGGGAATGTACAATATATATGTAAAGCGCTGCGTACATTGACGGCGCTATATAAGTACCTGAAATAAATAATCATTGCAAGCACCCCTGCCAGTGCTAAATGGTTTGTCTCATCCCTGTAAACGGATACATTATGCTGGAGAGCTTGTGCTTTTGAAAATACAACAGACCTACTGGCTGGATCACCAGATGAAAATAGAACCATAAAAAAAAGAAAGAAAACGAATGCAGCCATCACATGTAGGAATCAGCAATATAGGACATGTTTGGTTTTTGGGTTTAATACCGCTTGCAGCAGCAGTAAAGCGGACTTTACCTGGCGTGATCCAGGGAGTAGAAGAGCCCGCCGTGGCTCCAGGGGTAGCTGGGAGCGTGTAATTCTAAGTCAGAAGCTTTCACGGACCTGTGGAGGGCCAATGCCAAGCCGGCTCCCCCAGCCAGCACTACACCGAGAGTGGACAGAGCCATCCTCCGGCCCCGGGACATGGTGCTGAACGACATGTTGGCCTGGAAGAAACAGAAAAAAAATGAGAAAACCGAGAATCTTCTACCGTGTCCCTCCAATCACATCCAACCAGAGTCCCTGGGTATACCTGTGCCTGGTGACCCCATACACTCACCTTCCTGATTATCAGCAGTGGTTATAAACCATTCCCGGCCTCAGGGGATACACAGAGATGAGGAGAGAAGAGAGGAGAAGAGAGAAGAGGAGAAGAAGAGAAGAGATGAAGAGGAGAGAAGAAGTGAAGAGAGAGAAGAAGTGAAGGAGAGAGAAGAGAAAAGAGAAGAAGAAGAAGAGAAAAGAGAAGAAGAGAGAAAAGAGAAAGAGAAGAAGAGAAGAGAGAAAAGAGAAAAGAGAGAAAAGAGAAGAAGAGAAAAGAGAAGAAGAGAAAAGAGAAGAAGAGAAAAGAGAAGAAGAGAAAAGAGAAGAAGAGAAAAGAGAAGAAGAGAAAAGAGAAGAAGAGAAGAAAGAGAGAAGAAGAGAAGAAGAGAAGAAGAGAAAAGAGAAGAGAGAGAAAAGAGAAGAAGAGAAAAGAGAAGAAGAGAAAAGAGAAGAGACATGCCCCCCACACCCACACATATTACAGGAACAGAGCTGAGGCTGTCAATCACAGGCTGTGTGCTGGAGCTCCCTCCCGTCACCATTTTTCTCTTGGTGTCAGAAGTGACTGATAGAGGAAGGAGGCAGCAGACAAAGATGTCTGGACTGAGCCCAGTACACACTATAGAGGGATATGCTTTGTACATATTTCATGTCTGAGGGTTACAACCCCTTTAAAGAGAACCTGTCAGGTTGGCCATTACCTGCTGGGAGGGCCTTTGGATGCTTTACTCCCCTAATGAGGATTATTGTCTGGGAGGTGAAGTGTCACAGAGGAGTACTACACCCCAGAACTGACCCCACCTCCAGACGTCAGCCAATGGCTGCATGGGAGTCGACCACCTCATGCTGTCACCAGAACCCCTTGCCTCCTATTCAGGCGAGGACTCACAATGTTCAGTTTTCCCATCATGGTCCCATCAGCACACAGACAATATTCTTCAATCAAACCTGTTTTCAATTCATGCTTTATTTCAGTCCTGATGTCATCGCTGGGTCTCTGTGCTTCTCTAAGCAATGCAGGTAGATCATGGCTGGTGGGAAGGTGCTGTACATAGCCTCCAAAAACCATCACAGCGCCCTGCCTCAGTTCTCCTGTCAAGTGCCCTCAGCCTTGATACGAGCAGTGGGAGGAGTTATGCAAATACCAATAGGCCTTGATGGGTGGGTGTCAGTTTGGAGCAGTGGGTGTTCCTAGGCAGGTTGTATTTGCATAGGTAACGCCCAAATGTGATGCTGAGCCTCCATAATTGATAGAACTGAAATCCAATAAATGAAAGGGGCGGGGCGCTAAATGCTGCTGGATGTCCTCCAGCCAGGAAATGAGGCGGGCTCTAGATTAGGAGGCGGAGCTCTGACTGGCTGCAGCTTCTAATGCACATTGTGAGAAGCTCACATTGTGCAGGAACATCAGAGGAAGTCACTCCAGTCCAGGGGAGGAGCCGGTACACCCGCGCAAGGCTGGAGGGGAGGAGCCGCTACACCCGCGCAAGGCTGGAGGGGAGGAGCCGCTACACCCGCGCAAGGCTGGAGGGGAGGAGCCGCTACACCCGCGCAAGGCTGGAGGGGAGGAGCCGCTACTCCCGCGCAAGGCTGGAGGGGAGGAGCCGCTACTCCCGCGCAAGGCTGGAGGGGAGGAGCCGCTACTCCCGCGCAAGGCTGGAGGGGAGGAGCCGCTACTCCCGCGCAAGGCTGGAGGGGAGGAGCCGCTACTCGCATCCCGCGCAAGGCTGGAGGGGAGGAGCCGCTACTCCCGCGCAAGGCTGGAGGGGAGGAGCCGCTACTCCCGCGCAAGGCTGGAGGGGAGGAGCCGCTACTCCCGCGCAAGGCTGGAGGGGAGGATAGAATAGTCCATGTAAGTGACAATCTCTCTTCCCTGTGCAGCAGCATCCCATAAAAAAAAAACAATCATGCCCCCCCCCCCCCCCCCCCGCTGTCAGTCTAACACAGAACACACCTCCAGGAGGTGACCTCCATGAACCTATAATTTATGGAGGAGGCACCTCAAGATGGGGGATGGGAAGAGACACCGGGCTTCATAATGGTCAGGATGCCAGATTCTGGTGCATCACAGACAGTCCTAGTTGCAGGAGGAAACCCTGACTATCCAACCTGCGGTGAGACTTCATTATGTCATTCAGGGTGGAGCAGCCTGTGTATGAATGGTGGAGGGGTCATCCTCTGCTGTAGCACAGACAGTCCATATTGCAGCAGTCTCTGGTTACATAACCTGGTGTCATCTATACAGAGAGGGGTCACCTCCTTGTACTGCAACACAGACAGTCCATATTGCAGATACCAGGCCTCGCTCAGGATGCCAGACATCCCTTGGTGGAGGGACTGCAGGACTCCGATGATGGAAGGGTCATTCTTGGTGGAGCACAGACAGTCCGTATTGCAGGAGGAGGAGTTTGGTTATCTAATGTGATGGAGGGGGGGTCATTGGTGGAGCACAGACAGTCCATATTTCAGGATCTCTGATGACCTGTTATATGTCAGGGGTCCCCATGTACAGACATGGGGGGGGGTCCCCCGGACTCTGTACTCTGATGTAGCACAGACAGTACATGTTGCAGGAGTCTGGTTATCTAACCTAGGAATCCATGTACATACAGGACACAGTGCAGCACAGACAGTCTAAACTGCAGGAGCCTCTGCTTATCTAAGCTGTTGTCACATGACACTGCCATGTCCCTGTGCAGCACAGACAGCCCATAATCCAGGGGGAGGAGTCAGGCTAAGCTGTTGTCACATGACATTGCCATGTCCCCGTGCAGCACAGACAGTCCATAATACAGGGGGAGGAGTCAGGTTATCTAAGCTGTTCCATTGTGTCATTCATTGTGGTGGAGGAGCCGTATACAGGTGATGTCGGAGTCAATGAGCCCTCCTCTGGTGCAGCACAGACAGTCCATATTGCAGGGGGAGGAGTCAGGTTATCTAAGCTGTTGTCACATGACATTGCCATGTCCCCGTGCAGCACAGACAGTCCATAATGCAGGGGGAGGAGTCAGGTTATCTAAGCTGTTTCACATGACATTGTGTGCAGCACAGACAGTCCATTCAGGGTGGAGGAGCCAGGGTGGAGGAGCCGTATACAGGTGATGACGGAGTCAATGAGCCCTCTGGTGCAGCACAGACAGTCCATATTGCAGGATCCCTGGTTACATGTGTTACAATAACATTGCGGGTGGAAGAGAATCTGTACCAATGGCAGAAGGAGGTAATCCTAGTACTGTGTCTATGCACAGACAGTCCACATTGCAGGAGGGAGTCGGATTATCTAACCTGTTGTGTAATGTCAGGGGGGGGGGGGGGGGGGGTATGTGTCACTGGTCCTCAGTACAAGCTCTGCCCTCCTACGATGCAGCACAGACAGTCCACATTGCAGGAGGGAGTCGGATTATCTAACCTGTTGTGTAATGTCGGGGGGGGGGGGGGGGGGGTATGTGTCACTGGTCCTCAGTACAAGCTCTGCCCTCCTACGATGCAGCACAGATAGTCCACATTGCAGGAGGCAGTCTGACTAACCTGTTGTGTAATATCCGGGTGGGGGGGGGCTCCACATATATATGATGGGGGGGCACCTGTCCTCAGTACAAGCTCCGCCCTCCTCTGGTGCAGCACAGACAGTCCATGTTGCAGGATCTCCCATTCCCTCATTTTATCATTCGGGGGGAGGAGCCCCATACAGACGACAGAGGGCTTAGCTCTACTACTTGCTTGTCCCCGGTGCAGCACAGACAGTCCGTATTGCAGGCAGATGTCCTGACTCTGAAAACTGAACCCTCTGGAGGGACGATGCAGGGGTCTCAGCCTGTCCTGGTGAAGCACAGACAGTCCGTATTGCAGGAACTTCTGGTGATCCAAGCCATTCAGAATGGAAGAGCTGTGTACAATAGCAGATAGGTCACTGGCCCATCCTCCAATGCAGCACAGACAGTTCATGTTGCAGGATCTCTGGTTAGTTATGTAATGATATCATTTGGGGTGGAGGAGCCGTGTACAGAGGGATCTGACTTAGTACAGCCATGTCCTGATGCAGCACAGACAGTCCACAGTGCAGGCAGAGGTCCTGACTAGAGGTGGTATGGGGTGGGAGGGGTCACCAGGTCTCAGCCCCCACATTACCCTGTCCTGCTGTGGCACAGACAGTCCATGTTGCAGGAGGCGTCTGCCAATGTAAATTTCTGTATAATTACACAGCGTCATTCGGGGTGGCGGGGTCACCGGGCCATCCACTGCAGCAGCACAGACGGTCCATATTGCAGGGGGAGGAGTCTGGTTATCTAACCTGCTGTGAAATGCATAGAAATGAGAGGGGTCACCTCAGTACAAGCTCTGTTCTCTTCCTGTGCAGCACAGACAGTCCATGTTGCAGGATCCCTGGTTACTTATCATATTCAGGGTGGAGAGGCATCTGTAAGGTGATGGAGGGCTCCTTCCTCATCTACGTGCAGCACAGACAGTCCATGTTGCAGGACATCTGGTCACTTTTTATTCTCATTTCTATCAGTCCTGGTACCATCATGTCCCAATGCAGCACAAACAGTCCATGTTGCATGTGGAGGTCCAGACTGGAGAGGTCACAGAGGTCTTCGGGTATCAACCCTCATATTGCATCTGTCCTGGATCAGCACGACAGTCCATGTTGCAGGAGGGGGTGTTGCAGAGGTCTCATTTCCCTCATATTACCCTGCTCTGGATGCAGCACAGACAGTCCATATTGCAGGATCTCTGGTCACTTTTTATTCTCATTTCTATCAGTCCTGGTACCATCATGTCCCGATGCAGCACAGACAGTCCACGTTGCATATGGAGGTCCAGACTGGAGAGGTCACAGAGGTCTCCGGGTCTCAACCCTCATATTGCCCTGTCCTAGATCAGCACCGACAGTCCATGTTGCAGGCAGAGGGGGTGTTGCAGAGGTCCCAGCCCTCATATTACCCTGCTCTGGATCAGCACAGACAGTCCATATTGCAGGAGGAGGATTTTGGTTTCCTAACCTGTAATGTCAGAGTGTCCCCATGTATATAACTGACAGAGGGGGACACCAGACTCCAGTCCTCAGCACAGACAGTCCATATTGCAGGAGTCGTCGTCTGATTATCTAGCCTGTTACATTGTGTTGTTCAGGATGGGGGAACCGTATACAGGTGACAGAGGGGTCATCGGGCCATCCTCTGATGTAGCACAGACAGCCCATATTGCAGGGGGAGGAGTCTGGTTGACCTGTCATGTGATGTCAGGATGTCTCCTGATGTATATATGAAAGACCTCACTGCTATTACTGTGTGCTCTGGTGGGGCTCCCCCTCATCTCCATCTCCAGGTGTATGCACAGAGACACTCTGTCCTAGTCAGCACAGACAGTCCATGTTGCATGTGGAGGTCCAGACTGGAGATGTCACAGAGGTCTCCGCCCTCATATTGCCCTGTCCTGGATCAGCACAGACAGTCCATGTTGCATGTGGAGGTCCAGACTGGAGATGTCACAGAGGTCTCCGCCCTCATATTGCCCTGTCCTGGATAAGCACAGACAGTCCATGTTGCATGTGGAGGTCCAGACTGGAGATGTCAGAGGTCTCCGCCCTCATATTGCCCTGTCCTGGATCAGCACAGACAGTCCATGTTGCAGGCAGAGGGGATGTTGCAGAGGTCTCAGCCCTCATATTACTCTACTCTGGTTCAGCACAGACAGTCCACATTGCAGAATCTCTGGTTTCTTAATATCCCTTCTATCAGTCCTGGTACCGTCATGTCCCAATGCAACACAAACAGTCCATGTTGCATGTGGAGGTCCAGACTGGAGAGGTCACAGAGGTCTCCGGGTCTCAACCCTCATATTGCCCTGTCCTGGATCAGCACTGACAGTCCATGTTGCAGGCAGAGGGAGTGTTGCAGAGGTCTCAGCCCTCATATTACCCTGCTCTGGTGCAGCACAGACAGTCCATGTTGCAGGAAGAGGTATCCTGTTACCTAACCTGTGGTGTGCCCATGTATGTTCAGTACAATGACTATTGGCTGTAGTGGAGCCCAGATAGTCCATGTTGCAGGAGGAGGACTCTGGTTGTGGAATCTCAGGTGTCCCCATGTATGTAACTGACAGAGGAGTCACCGGTCCTCAGCACAGACAGTCCATGTTGCAGGAACTCTAATGATGTGCCCTGTTATATACAATCAGGGGTCTCCGTGCACAGATATTGGGGGGGGGGGGGGTCACCCTGGTTCACAATAACCATTTGTCCTGGTGCAGCACAGACAGTCCATTATTCAGGTTCTCTGATGTTGTGACCTGTTATATACAATCAGGGGTCCCCATGTACAGATATGGGGGGGGGGGGGGGCTGGGTGTCACCCTGGTTCAGTACAATGACTATTGGCTGTGGTGGAGCCCCAACAATCCATGTTGCAGGAGCAAGACTGGTTGTGGAATCTCAGATATCCCCATGTATATAAATGACAGAGGGGGATCACCAGTCCTCAGCACAGACAGTCCATGTTTCAGGAGGATTCAGCTTCTATAACCTCCGGTGTCCCCATGTATATAAATGACAGAGGGGGTCACCAGTCCTCAGCACAGACAGTCCATGTTTCAGGAGGATTCAGCTTCTATAACCTCGGGTGTCCCCATGTATATAAATGACAGAGGGGGTCACCAGTCCTCAGCACAGACAGTCCATGTTGCAGGATCTCTAATGATGTGACCTGTTATATACAATCAGGGGTCCCCATATACAGATATTGGGGGGGGGGGGGGTCACCCTGGTTCACAATAACTATTTGTCCTGGTGCAGCACAGACAGTCCATGTTTCAGGAAGATTTGGCTTCTATAATCTCAGGTGCCCCCATGCATATATATGACAGAGGGGGGTCACCGGTCCTCAGCACAGACAGTCCATGTTTCAGGAGGATTCAGCTTCTATAACCTCGGGTGTCCCCATGTATATAAATGACAGAGGGGGTCACCGGTCCTCAGCACAGACAGTCCATGTTTCAGAAGGATTCAGCTTCTATAATCTGAGGTGTCCCCATGTATAATGACAGAGGGGGGTCACCGGTCCCCAGCACAGACAGTCCATGTTGCAGGATCTCTAACGATGTTATATACAATCGGGTCCCCATGTACAGATATTGGGGGGGTCACCCTGGTTCACTACAATGACTATTGGCAGTGGTGAAGCCCAGACAGTCCATGTTGCAGGAAGAGGATTCCAGTTCTCTAGGCCGTGGTGCCAGGTCAAGGTGTCCCCATGTATATAACTAAGAGAAGGGGTCACCAGGCCGCAGGCCTGCCCCGGTCTACACACAGGAGGTGTCTGGCCTGTCTCCCGGGTGACCTTCACTGCTCTCCCGGCCTGACTCCTCCCCCACACCGGCCGCTCCTCCCACCCCAACGCCCGCCTCCCTCTCCCGGCTCCGGTCACCTGTGGCGGCTGTGGCCAGACCGGCCTCCCCCCGAGCAGTTGTCCCGCCCGCAGCGACCTCCGGAGCACCAGGCACGCCGCCGCCATCTTTCCTGAACGGAAGTGCCAGGCCTCCCTCAGCCGGCTAAACACGTCATTTCCCGCTGCCATATTCCTCCTCCACAGCTTGTTGTAAGCCCAGTGCCTAGGGGGGTGCTGGTGAGGCCTGAGCGCTGGGTGTACAAACATGGCGGCGCCCTACTGCTTGACTCTCCGCCTCCAACGCATGCGTGGTGCGCTCAGGGTCAGCAGCTCAATGACAAATAGCCGGCCGCAAAAGAGGACCTGTCTACGTGGCGATTTCTGTGCAAAAAATCATTAATGAGGGCTGACTCCGCCCCTGATTTCTGGGGACAGTCCCGGATGTAGGAGATGTGTGCTATATACCCTTCTATATAATGTTACAACCACTTCTTACCACCAGAGCCAGCCGCGTGAACATCGAAATTAATGAAACCCCCCCAAAATATGATATATTTCATGAAAGCAGAGACCCCGGAGAATAAATTAGTGGTAGTCACATGATATTAGTGCAAGGATTTAGCAAATGCAAAATTTTGGTATAAAAATACACCAACATTTTTTTTTTATTATTTAAATTTTCATTACCTAATTTTTTGGTTAAAAAAAAAAAGATGAGGATGTGTTCAGTAAATAGACACCCAAATGACAAAACTGCACCGTGAAACAGCGACAAACCAACACACTAATGTGTCCAAAGCAGCAGCAGGAAGGGATTAAAAAAAATCATTTTAAGCCTGAAGATTATAAACCACCTCCAAATATTACAGACACTCTGGAGAAAAGAAAATGGCGGTAGTTCCAATTTTTTATGTCACAGAATATTAACACAACAGTTCACAAAATGCTAAGTTTCAATTACAATACACTAAATATGTTTTTTATTTTTATAATTTTTTTCACTAATTGTATACATTTTTTAAACTAATTTTTTTTTGGTAAAATTTAAAGATGAGGAATGCGTTGAATAAATACCCAATGTGTTTAAAAAATCATTTCAGAACTAAAGATTATGTAAAACCCCCAAAACAGTGTGTGTGTGTATATATATATATATATGTGTGTGTGTGTGTGTATATATATTTGTGTGTGTGTGTGTATATACAGTTGCAAGAAAAAGTATGTGAACCCCTTGGGATTACGTGGAGTTTTGCATGAATTGGGCATAAAATGTGCTCTGAACGTCATCTAAGCCACAACAATAGAAGAACACAGTCTGCTTAACATAATACTACACAAACATTAGATGTTGCCATGGTTTAATTGCACATAACATGTAAACATTCACAGTGCAGGGAGGAAAAAGTATGTGAACCTTTGGACTTAATAACTGGTTGACCCTCCTTTGGCAGCAATAACCTCAACCAAACGTTTCCTGTAGTTGCAGATCAGACCTGCACAACAATCTGGAGTCATTTTGGACCACTCCTCTTCACAAAACTGTTTCAGTGTAGCGATATTCTTGGGATGTCTGGTGTGAATCGCTCTCTTAAGGTCATGCCACAGCATTTCAATCGGGTTGAGGTCAGGACTCTGACTGGGCCACTCCAGAAGGCGTATTCTGTGCTGTTGCAGCCATTGTTTTGTTGAATGACTTGTATGCTTTGGGTCATTGTCCTGTTGCATCACCCATCCTCTGCGGAGCTTCAGTTGGCGGACAGATGGTCGTACGTTTTCCTGCAAAATGTCTTGATAAACTCTGGAATTCATTTTCCCATCAATGACAACAATCCGTCCAGGCCCTGAGGCAGCAAAGCAGCCCCAAACCATGATGCTCCCTCCACCATGCTTTACAGTGGGGATGAGGTTTGATGTTGTTGTGCTGTGTCTTTTTTCTCCACACATAGTGTTGTGTGTTCTTCCCAAACAACTCAATCTTGGTTTCATCTGTCCACAGTATATTTTGCCAGTAGTGCTGTGGAACATCCAGGTGCTCTTTGCAAACTTCAAACGTGCTGCAATATTCTTTTTGGACAGCAATGGCTTCCTCCGTGGTGTCCTCCCATGTACTCCATTCTTGTTTAATGTTTTCCTTATTGTAAATGTGTCAACAAAAATGTTAGCATGTGCCAGAGATTTCTGTAGGTCTTTAGCTGACACTCTGGGATTCTTCTTTACCTCATGCAGCATTCTGCGCTGTGCTCTTGCAGTCATTTTTACAGGACGACCCCGCCTAGGGAGAGTAGCAACAGTGCTAAACTTTCTCCATTTGTAGACAGTCTGTCTTACCGTGGACACATGAACATCAAGGCTTTTGCAGATACTTTTGTAACCCTTTCCAGATTCATGCAAGTCAACAATTCTTGATCGTAGGTCTTCTGAGAGCTCTTTTCTGCGAGGCATGGTTCACATCGGACAGTGTTTCTTGAAACCAGTAAACCCAAAACAGGTGTGTGTTTTTTAAGGGCAGGACAGCTGTCAGCAACACATCCAATATCATCACACTGATTGGAGTCAAGGTTGGCTCACTCCTGGCTCCAATTAGCTCTGGGAGAAGTCATTAAGCTAGGGCCTCACATACTTTTTCCTCCCTGCACTGTGAATGTTTACATGTTATATGCAATTAAACCATGGCAACATCTAATGCAGCGGTTCTCAACCTGGGGGTCGCGACCCCTTTGGGGGTCGAACGACCATTTCCCAGGGTCGCCTAAGACCATCGGAAAACACATATTTCCGATGGTCTTAGGAACCGAGACACCGCTGCTGTCTCCGGCGATGTGTGGGCGGGATGATATGCTGCCCCTGTCACCGCCTCCTCGCCGCTGATTGGCCACCGGAACTGTAGCTCAGGAAAGGCACACAGGTGGCCAATCACCGGCGAGAAGGTGGAGCTTGGAGAGGAGGAGCCGAGCGGCAGCGCGCGGAGATCGAAGAAGACCGAGGGAGCTGCAGGAGCGAGTGAAGAGAGAGGCCAGAGAAGGAAGACAGCTGACAGGTAAGTGCAAATTTTGCTGCTGCAGCCAGGTATGCAGGCTGTAGATGGGAGAGGGAGAGAGCGAGCCCAGGCTGGAGCAGGGGTCAGCAAGGTAAGTATCATTGGTGTCAGTGGAAGGGATAGTGCCCCCATCATTTGTGTCACTAATACCAACGATGGGGTAGTCCCCGCCCCTCCCGTTGTGCTCTGTCACGTGGTTTACAGGCGCCGACGATCTGCATCTACCATTTCTGGGGTACCTGGAAGCAGGAGGGGGACCCCTGCCTGCCTATCTTTTGGAACGAAAGGGCTCTATATACCTGGAGGTACTGCACCCAAGGCCGATGTCAGTATTTGAGAGGGATGGTCCATGTGTCCTTAGGATCTGCATGTCTGGCTGGTCATCTGCATAAGAGTGTGCACAAAGGCGCATTTAAAATGTGCGGTCGGTGAGTGCGCATTTTTTCTATCCGATACCAGTCACCTTTATAAGGAGGAAGACCTTCATACACCTATGGTCACTTAATTGTGGAAGGACTTTATGAACTATTTTATTTGTATTCATTTTAGCATGTTCTTTTTTTAATTAATACACCAGCGCTGCACTATATATTATTATTCTTGCTTAAAGGTCCAGTGATTCCTTAGAGTGTTCCAGCAGCTGAACTATGAGCGCTCGCTTTACCCTTATGCCAACGATGGGGCACTATTCCTCCCCCCACTGACACCAACGATGGGGCACTATTCCTCCCCTCACTGACACCAACGATGGGGCACTATTCCTCCCCCCACTGACACCAACGATGGGGCACTATTCCTCCCCCCACTGACACCAACGATGGGGCACTATTCCTCCCCCCACTGACACCAACGATGGGGCACTATTCCTCCCCCCCACTGACACCAACGATGGGGCACTATTCCTCCCCCCACTGACACCAACGATGGGGCACTATTCCTCCCCCCACTGACACCAACGATGGGGCACTATTCCTCCCCCCACTGACACCAACGATGGGGCACTATTCCTCCCCCCACTGACACCAACGATGGGGCACTATTCCTCCCCCCACTGACACCAATGATGGGGCACTATTCCTCCCACTAACGCCAATGATGGGGCACTATTCCTCCCACTGATACCAATGATGGGGCACTATTCCTCCCACTGATACCAATGATGGGGCACTATTCCTCCCACTGATACCAATGATGGGGCACTATTCCTTCCACTGACACCAATGATGGGGCACTATTCCTCCCACTGACACCAATGATGGGGCACTGTTCCTCCCACTCATACCAATGATGGGGCACTGTTCCTCCCACTCATCCCAATGATGGGGCACTATTCCTCCCACTCATACCAATGATGGGGCACTATTCCTCCCACTCATACCAATGATGGGGCACCATTCCTCCCATGACACCAATGATGGGGCACTATTCCTCCCACTCATACCAATGATGGGGCACTATTCCTTCCACTGACACCAATGATGGGGCACTATTCCTCCCACTCATACCAATGATGGGGCACTATTCCTTCCACTGACACCAATGATGGGGCACTATTCCTCCCACTGACACCAATGATGGGGCACTATTCCTCCCACTGACACTAATGATGGGGCACTATTCCTCCCACTGACACCAATGATGGGGCACTATTCCTCCCGCTGACACCAATGATGGGGCACTATTCCTCCCACTGACACCAATGATGGGGTATTATTCCTCCCACTCATACCAATGATGGGGCACTATTCCTCCCACTGATACCAATGATGGGGCACTATTCCTCCCACTCATACCAATGATGGGGCACTATTCCTTCCACTGACACCAATGATGGGGCACTATTCCTCCCACTGATACTAATGATGGGGCACTATTCCTCCCACTGACACCAATGATGGGGCACTATTCCTCCCACTGACACCAATGATGGGGCACTATTCCTCCCACTGATACCAATGATGGGGCACTATTCCCCCCACTGATACCAATGATGGGGCACTATTCCCCCCACTGACACCAATGATGGGACACTATTCCTCCCACTGACACCAATGATGGGACACTGTTCCTCCCACTGACGCCAATGATG